AGCCAGTCAGTCAGTCAGTTAATTAACCAACTAGCTAGTCATTCAGTCAATAAACCAATTAACCAATCAACCAACCAATCAATCAATTATTCAAACAGTCAATACTTGACTGCAATACTTGACTTGAATACTAAACTTGACAAAAGTCTAAGGAGGAACATTTGTATATGATAATTGGAGTGACTTAACTTGTCACACTTTACAATAAGGTTCATTAGTTAATGTTAATTAATGCATTTGCTAACATGAACAAACAATGAACAATACATCTACTACTGTATTTGTTCATGTTAGTTAATGTTAGTTAATGAAAATACAGTTGTTCATTGTTAGTTCATGTTAACTCATGGTGCATCAAATAATGTTAACAAACATGGACTTGGATGTTAATAATGCATTAGTAAATGTTCAATTATGATTAATAAATGCTGTACAAGTGTTGTTCATGATAAGTTAATGTTAGTAAATGCATTAACTAATGAACCTTATTGTAAAGTGTTACCACTTAATTTTTAAATGTAACAATTGATATTCCCTCTTATTGCAGCAGATTTGCGGATTATGATTCTTGGTTAAACTGATGTGGGAAAGAGTACAATGGCGAACACCATCCTGGGCAGAGATGCATTTAATCCAGGAGGTCTAACTAGTACTTGAACCTGTACGAAACAAAAAGCAGTGGTTAGTGGAAAAAACATCTCAATAATTGATACTCCAGGACTCCTAGATGCCCCGTGGTACAAGATTCTGCCAGGTGAGCGTAAGCGTAATATTGAGAAAGGTTTAAAATTGTCTGCGCCTGGTCCTCATGTCTTTCTGCTGGTCATTAAACTCAATGGAAAATACAGAGAGGAGGAGAAAAACACAGTGAAATGGATTCAGGAGAACTTTGGAGAAGAAGCTGTTCGCCATACTTTGGTTCTGTTCACTCATGTAGATTTGCTGACCGCTGAATCTCTGGATCAGTATATCAGAAGAAGTCCTGATCTACAATTACTGATTGCTAGATGCAGTGGAAGATTTCTCTCATTTAATAACCAGAATAGACACAATGAAAACCAAGTCACTGACCTCCTGGAGAGGATTGAACAACTGGTGAAGGACAACAGTGAACAACATTATGACAGAAAGAAGAGCCAAAAGATGGTACAAATATGTAGTCTAGAGACCACAGAGAGCCACTTCGATGAACTGCATAGACAAACAGGAAATCTCTTGTGTCTCATGTTGAGTCTTCAGTTAAATGAGTTGGCCATGACAATGTCTCTATTGAGACCAATGGCACAGAGCAATCTGTCGAAACAAGGTAAGTACTAAATCATATGTGATTTTATTTCATCCCACATTTTCTTGTAGTCATGCATGTGTATAATATTATTATAATGTTTGCATTAGCTGCTTATGTTATATATGACATGTCTAGTCATATATTGACAATACACAGAAGATATTTCAGAGGGACTTGACTTTCTTTATAAGCCACTAGTGGAAATGTATCTTTGGCTTTACCACATAATTAGATCAACATCCATATCACATATATCACAAAATAAACTGGTAACATAAATACATTCAATATCATCACATAAATCACAATAAAAACAGATCTATTCATACAACTGACCCTATCCATACTTAAAACCCAGTATGTAAAATTCAAATGGCAGTTGACACATAAATGTTATATCTACTTTTAAAGCACTAACAAATGTAAAATTTGAAATTATATTTGAGTAAAGTTTTAAATGACATACAAGTGACCACTGCCCTAATTAAGGCTAATGGCTCATTTATAACAAGTTGCACAAATCAGGATAGCACAATATAGTATAATTCGATACAGCTAACTCCTAATAAGGCTTGCATTTCCATGCCAGCAATATCCTTACTTGATAGGTGTGATGTATGCCAGGCAGCAGATTAACATTATTCTTGTGTGATGAAGACGTTCTTGTGTAAAAGGCAAATATGCAGCAGATACTGTTCTTGCTTCTTTTTTTCACCATGCTATTCAGTTTCGTATTTACCTTTTGTTCACCGATATACACAGGAAGGTCTGCACCCAAGGGTGTCACAAGTGGGGGGGAAAGGGTGACAGAGTGCATAGTGCCCTGGCCCTGAGCCTTTTTTGGGGACCACAGTCCCCGCTATTCAGCCGTCCACACACCTCCCCCCTTTAACTTTGTCAAACTAGCCCCTCCACCCCTCTCAACTTTGTAAATCCCTCATCCATTTAACTTTGCCACGCTCCACCCCTTCAACTTCGCCACCACCCTTCGGCTTCGTCAACCAACATCCCTTCAACTTTGTCAACCCCTCACTTTTTCAACCTTGCAACCCCCCAACCATTCAACTTCATCAACCTGCCACTTTTGCCCATCTTCACCTATTCTGCTTTTAGAATGTGTTACCATCACACAGACCACAGCACCAAAGGTCCCACTATTGAATAATCTTGCATAGAACCCAAAGATTACTGGCAGCAGCTCTGTCTCCACCTCTCTGGTTAATATGGTCCATTTATGCATGCCATCATTGTATTAGTACAGTATTGTGTTTCAGTTATGTATTTAAAAATATGGGGCATGTGCTTTGTCTTTTCCAGGCTCAGTTCTCTGCAAATCAATCAGCATTCAGTAGTCAGCCTAACTTTGCAGTTAACTATAATTCAGACTTGGAATTGCTGAGCCTGTTATGTGACTATTGTGAATGCGTACATTATGATAACAATGCTGAAACAATTTATTGTGCAGCCCTAATCATAACCCTCTCATTCTTACAGACTTGAGGATTGTGCTTCTGGGTTTAGTGGGATCAAGAAAGAGTTCAGCTGGAAACACCATCCTGGGCAAAGATGTGTTTAGAGTCAGTCGCGTGTCAGTCAGGAACAACTGTGAGAAACAAGCAGCAGTGGTGTGTGAAAAAAACCATCTCAATCATAGACACTCCACCCATCATTCAAGAGCATGCTATGAGGCTCATTCTACAGCATAAAATCGAGAAAAGCTTGGAAATGTCTGCTCCTAGACCTCATGTGTTTCTGCTGGTGGTGGAAGTGCAGAGATTCATAATGAGGAAAGCAAAAGCAGTGAAGTGGATTCAAGAGAACATTGAAAAAGATGCTTTAAATCACACAATAATTCTATTCACTCACACTGATCTGTTGAAATCGCAAATAACAGAACCTTTGAAAGTGTATTTCGGATTGTACGAGGAGCTGGAATCCCTGGTTGACAACTGTGGTGGCAGATATCAATCATTTAGCAATGAGGAAACCAGAAACCCATTTCAGGTCATACAACTGCTGCAGAAGTGTGATGAGTTGGTAGAGAAAAATGAAGGAGGCCACTAAACCAAACCAAACATCTTTAAAAGCGTCCAGCCAACAAACACAAAACAAAAAGATGATGATAATAGTTGCCAAATTCAATAAAACTGATAATGTATACATATACTATTCCCTGGGAATTGGGAGGGGAAAAAAATTATAAAAAAATCTGTTAAGAAAAAAAAACATCAAATTTAAAGATTTTTATATAATACTCGTAAATGTCAAGATATGAAAATTAAATTTATTATCCAATATTTGGATATCTTTAAATTATTTCAATATAGCTTAGGCTATTTTATTTGGATATGACACTATTGTGTTGAGCTTACAAATGTGGACATGTAATTTGTAAAGTTTTATGTCTTTCTGTTGTATTCATTTGTGAATACAAATATGTATTCATTATCTCCAAAATAAAGAAAGTTGTTCCTTGCACCACCTGCATGGTGGCTATTGCGCAAAGCACAAAAAAAGTGTTATTTTTTTATGAAAAGGTGGCCTTTGCTGCTGCAGTCAGAGCTTAGAATGACCAAGAGGCGACACTCAATAGAACGTTCCATTGCTACAGCAGCGCCCAGCAACAGTCCCGGATTCCGCCATTTTTGAGTGAAAGCGATCGGCTGTCCATTGGATCTTATTGCTGTCGCGATGGCAAGCAGCTGCATTGTTTTTTATTTATTTATTTAATAAGCGCATTAAAGCTTGGTGATTCTATGCTCATTGCTGCAGTACTACACATGACTGCGCATGACAAATCGCATGTTCATGTATGTTAATAAATGGACACGTACAAAGCAATATTTCAAAATATATGTTGCTTTTTAATTTGTATGCCATATATGTATGGTTTGAGGTTGACAATACATGTTGCACGTATCAGATTTCAATGTAGAAATAGACAATGACATCTTTATTTTTAGGTACAAATTGTACGATTCTTATTACTCCAGTACTGTAAGTGAAATAATGAAATGATAGCTATAGATGAGGATAATACATGACTGCTACTAAAGTGGTAATTTGTGCTTATTCAATTATCTCATATGCTTAGATGCCATCAATACTTAAACTACTAACATTTTTATGAACAAAAAGGAAGATATTTTGAAGAATGCTGAAAATCTGTAGCCAATAAATTCTGTAGCAGATTAACAAATACTATGGAATTCAATGGTTACAGCTTTTTAGGAAATAATGTGAATAAAATACATTTATTTAACGAAACCAACAAAGCTGTAATAATTTGTTTTATATGTAATATTTGCTGGCTGAGTACACATATTTTAGTATTTGCTGCCTCACATTGTACTGAACAGCATCTTTTAATATAATTAATATTAACAATAATGTAAATTATGCGGCGAGGCAGTGGCACAGTAGGTAGTGCTGTCGCCTTACAGCAAGAAGGTCGCTGGGTTGCTGGTTCGAACCTCGGCTCAGTTGCCGTTTCTGTATGGAGTTGGCATGTTCTCTCTGCCTTTGCGTGGGTTTCCTCCAGGTGCTCCAGTTTCCCTCACAGTCCAAAGACATGTGGTACAGGTGAATTGGGTAGGCTAAATTGTCTGTAGTGTATGAGTGTATTATTATCAGCAAAATACAATATTAATTTAAATATTTATATTCCTAAAACTAAATATCCCAAATGCACAATACAAATATTTTCTTTGAATACTGGAAAAAGTAAATCCATTTAACATTTATTTAAGTATGAAACCGTCATTTTCCCTAAAAGTCTGCTACAGAAATTACATTTTTGTTTAGCAGTACAGCATTAGGTTCAGCCCACTGAATAATTATCATCTGTACATATTTAATATGCTTTTCCACTGCTGTTGAAAGAATAATCTGGACCACATGTGTCAAACTCAGTTTCTGAAGGGCTCATGTTCTGCACAGTTTAGTTCCCACCCTAATCATACTACTTGAGTGCTTTAGGCTTGTTTGAAAACTACATATAAATAGGAACATTAAACCAGGGTTGGAGCTAAACTCTACTGTCACAATCACCAGGGATCTAATACTTGCAGATCACTGGTAAACACAAATATCGCTATAGAACTACAAATTTGCCGTTATTTGGACTACATATCCAGTCATACACCGCTCACAAACACCTGTTCCAGTTTCCATTGATAACACAAACACATAGCTAGATGATCTGACTACAAGGACTATTTAAACAGCACAAACACGCATCATGGGCTGAGTCTTGTTTAATTGTACTTTGCTTTGCTTTGCCATGTCAGACCCTTGTTTTGTTTTATTGTTTATTTCTGTCTGCTGCCTGCCTTTGACCATACAAGTGTTTATTGACCATGATTCTGGATTACCTGTATGTACCTGTTTGACCCTGTTTGCTTGCCTGACCATTCTCCCAATAAACCTGCATTTGAAACCTCAACTCTGTTGTCAACGTCCTGTTCACAATAGATCTGCAGGTCTGTGGCCTCAAGGAATTGAGTTTGGCACCCCTGATCTGGACTAATGAAGAGAGTAACTCTTCTACTTCTCAGTATTTCCAGCCGGATTTCATGAGGAAACTTGCTTATTTTATGTTTTTAGTGGCTAATTTGCACGAATTTATATAATTTCATTGCTGATTTTTAAAAGAAGGTATGGCATCAAATCCATCACTAAACCTAATCATCATTGGGGAGGAGAAAATCAAACTAAAATGTATAAAGTTGATCATATAAATTTATAAGGATTAGCCATTAAATTAAAAAGTTAGGAATGGGAAAAACGTTGGTATTTTCCAGCTGTTTGTCCATATATAGTTTTATAGTATATATATATATATATATAGTCCATATATAGTCCATATATAGTATATAACATTTTGTTCATATATAGTTTGTTTATTTCAGATGTTCTTCATCTATCAAGTCCACTCTGAGCCACCGCAGCAGCAGCCAAAGCCCCGATTAACAAAATAAACACTGCTTTCCACCAGTTAAATGAGTTTTGATTCACTTTCTCGCTTTTATAGCTCATTTTCACTATACTGTAGTGTTTTCCTCCATTCTCCTCCACCATCTTCTCAATCTTCTCCATCAGTTCAGTGACCTGTGTTTGATTATTCACGTCTTCATTGTTGAATGAGTGAAATCTGCCTCCAAACTCATCAGCAATGGCCTGGAGGTCTTTATTTTCTCTAATATACTCGTTCAATGGTTTTCCCTTCAGATAATCAGCATGGGTGAACAGAATGATGGTGTAACGTAGAGCTTTTTCTCCAAAGTTCGCCTGAATCCATTTGACTGTGTTTTTCTTGTCTTCTGTGAACATTTCATCCAGTCTGATGTTCAGCAGAAACACATGAGGACCAGGAGCAGATAATTCAGCACACTTCTGAATTTCATCCTTCATCTGTTCTCTTGGCATTGATGGATCACACAGTATTGGAGATTCGATTACTGAGACGTTTCTTCCACGTGTGTTTGCTTCTTGTTTCTCACAGGTTTTATTTATCTTATTTATTTTAAGTGCATCACTTTTGCCCAAAATAGTGTTTCCTGTTGAACTCTTTCCTGATCTGCTTTTCCCCAGAAGAACAATCCTCAGATCAGATCCTGCAAACAAAATGAGATGCAAATTAATTTTCTGACTTAAAAGGCACCAGTGGTTTAGTTGGGGCTATACCAACACAATCTCACGGCAATTCGAAGCTTTTTGATTTAGTGGCTAATTCGTTTGAATTTGTACGATCTAATTCGTACAATTTAGTATGATTTGCTCATCACCCAATGACTGTTGGGGTTAGGGGTGGGGTCAGGTAACACGCCTCCTTTTTAAAATCCTACATTTTTGTACGATTGAACTCATATGAATTTGTAAGAATTAGTCACTAAACTGACAAAACGTTCCTAGTGAGATCAGGCTGGCTATACGCATGTATACTCCATATGCCTACTTTTTTCCATGAGCTGTTTGGGTATTACGATTAATGAATATACCCTCGGTATTCTCACATGTTTTGCTGATTAGACTTAATTTATGTGTACTCGCGTCCCCTTTAACTGTATACGAAATTATTTTTACTCACATATTAAATTGTAGCAATCAGTGCATTTTTGTTTAATTTACGCCATTCCCCGCCCCCTGATGATCGCAGCAACTGTGAGAAAATTTTGCCAGTTTGTTGAAGATGATAACAAGTCAACTGAAAGATGATAGTAACATTTTCAGGTAGCATTTTAAAACAGCATGGCGTCACCTTAGCACCCCTATATTTCTATTCTTCTTTTTTTTTCTTCTGTTGAATGCAGTGGAAGATATTTTGAACTTGAACTTAAAACCTGTGAGCATTGACTTCATAGTATAACACTAATAATGTTTTCTAACTCTCTGAAACTGACCATTTTAGGCTTTGATCCTAATTGTGGCGTTTTGGTCGCTTTAAATTCAAATAAGATTGAGCTCATTTTAGAGGAGGGTGGAGCTAATAATGCCTGTGTGTCAGCATAGTAGCAGATTCAAATTCAAGACTAATGTTATCTGTGTGGAAATGGTTTAATTGTGTTGTTTTGCTCTGATGACCATATTTTAATTTTTGTAATGTTTTATGTATTTATATAGCGCATTTATTGTGTATGGCCATACACCCAAAGCACTGCACAATCATGATAGTGGTCTCTGCACACCAACACTAGTGTGCAGCAAGCACTTAGATCAGGGGTGTCCAAATTCGGTCCTGGTGAGCCGGTGTACTGCTAAGTTTAGTTCCAACTTCCTTCAACACACCTCCCAGGAAGTTTCCAGTATACATAGAAAAACCTTGATCAACTGGTTCAGATGTGTTTAATTGGGGTTGGAACTAAAATATGCAGGACACCGGCCCTCCAGGACTGAGTTTGTACACCCCTGACTTAGATTATGCTTTTGGAGTCACAGGACAATGACGCCAGTGAGCTCACAACAAACCAATCCGGGGGATGGGGATGACTGGGAAGGGGATAAAAATGGATAAGGGCCAATTGAAGGAATTTAGCCAAGACACTGGGGTTACACCCCTACTATTTTACCAGAAGTACTATGGGATTTTTAATGAGCACAGAGAGTCAGGACCTCAGTTTAACGTCTCATCCGAAAGATGGCGCTCACTGACAGTGTAGTGTCTCCTTCACTTTACTCGGGCATTAGGACTCACACAGACCACAGGTTGAGCATCCCCTGCTGTCCTCATTAACACAACATTTTGGATGAACTATCCCTTTAAGAGTTTAGGTCAACAATAATATGGATAAATAAATAAATGGCTTTATGATATTTAAAGCATATAAGATTTTAAGAGTCAACACACTGAAAAATATCTAGAAAATGATAAAAAGGCCATATTCTTAAAATTTGTTAACTAATTACAATAGTGAATTGTGTATTCATCTGTACATTTATTTAAATTTTAAACTGTAAATTGTTATATAATATTCTATATATATATATATATATATATATATATATCAGATCAGACATTGCAAGAAAAAAAATATTTTCAAATAGTATATTTTCCAACACATCTTACTTGATAAAAAAAATAATAAATTGATTACTTGATTTTCAATGGTTGTTTAATATTTAATTAATTATTTAATTTATTTTTTTGCAGTTTTAATTTATTGTTTTGAGGCTTAAAACACTATAATAAATGACTACACTGCTACACTGATTTGTTTTTTTTTTTTTGTATTGTTTTTGGTCCTAAAATCTTCAAATTCTCAAATTGAGAAGCCTTTTCTAGACAAGCCCAAATTCTTGTCTTGTTTTCAGAAATAATGACCTAAAATGAACTAAGCTTTTCCCTAAAACAAGCAAAATAATCTGTCAGTGGTGTAAGTGAAATAATATTGCTTCTTCTTTTGACATTAGATTGTTTTGCTTACACCTTTAACTGATTTTTTTGCTAATTTTAAAGGAAAAATTATTTAATTTTGAATTATTATTTCTTAAAAAAAAAAATATTTCCTTCGCTAGAAAATGTTTCTCGATTTAAATATTTTTGCATATTTGAACTAGAAACAAGACTGAAGATCTGAGGAAATAAAAGCATGTTCATAAAGCAAATAATACAAAAATATAGTTAGAGTTGCTCAAATGTATGCATGAACCTTGAAAATTAGGAATATATAAACAATTTATAAATATATTCCAATATATTTTCACATCAAACATTTGCACTGAAATGTATTAACTTTAGTCATAAACATCTTAATATTTACCTGTTATTGAACACTTTTCTGTCATTTCTTTCTTCTCCTCCGGGATCAAACTAACTTTAAATGTTCTGCTAATTTCACTTCCCCCCGAAGAGCTTTTTTCTCCATCATTTTCTGCAGTTTGCTCTTTCTGCTCACTCTTATCATTGTTTTCATCCTCTCCGACATGCAGATCTAACCTGTTCTCCTCTTTCTTCTGCTCGACTTGTACATGTTGTATCTTCACCTCATCTTCACCATTCTCCAAGCAGATCTCTTTAACGTAATGCTCTCTTCTGTTCTTCCTCACCACCTCCTCGATGTTCTCCATCAAGCTGGCGATCTGCTTTTTATCCCTCTTATTCCTATGAATAATAACGTGACATTTCTCCTCAAAGAAGCTCAGCAGTTCTCTAGTCTTTCTGCTCAGCCTGAACTCGATCCACTCTCGTTTCGACATCGCTTCTTTTCCGATGAACAGCACCATCGTGAACCTGAACGCTGATCTCCCGAAGTGCTGGTGGATGGTTTTGACAGTGTTTGCCACGTTGTCTGTGAAGTTCTCCAGGTTGATGATGAGCAGAAACACATGAGGTCCAGGAGAACAGAGATCCAGGCTCTTCTTCATCTGCATCTGCAGCTCTTCATCAGTCAGGTGAGTGTTGAAGAATCCTGGAGTGTCGATGATGGAGATGTTTCTGGCTTCTACTCTTCCTCTCTGTATCTCACTCTCTCTCGTTCTGCTCTCTTTAAACACCTCTTCACCCAGTATTGCGTTTCCTATTGTGGTCTTTCCAGCTCCGCTTCTTCCAATCAGCATAATCCTCAGCTCCAGGAAAGCAAGAGCTTCGTCAGACTCTGGGAGAGTACAAAGGAAATCAAAACTTAACCCTATTGATTTTGTTAGCTCAAATTGTTAGATTTGTGGTCAACTATTCATC